GGGCCGGGGAGAAAGAGGCCAGTCAGGCTAAGAGCAGCTGTCTCTGGTGTAATTAGAACTGCACAGTGTCCTTCTGCATGCCTCTGCTCCGACCCAGGTGGCAACAGGAACACAGTATACCACACAGAGATGGTCCCATGGGCAGCTCTCAGGTGCAGGCACAGATTACTCCTGAGCAGAAGCTTGTCCAGCTCCAACATTGGTCCCAGGACTATCCTGTGGGGACAAGAGAAAGTCTGGTTCATTTTTTGTGTGTAATAGTCTTCTGATTCCATCTGGTTTTGTTATCAGGGTCTATAAGGTGGGAGCATGCTAGAGAGGTAGCCAGAGGCTCATCATGGGGCCTTGTGGACCTTGGATTCCTGAAATTTTTCCCCTCTAGGTGTGATAGGAAACCATTGGGTGTTCCTTCTTTTTTGCTTTTACCTTTGTTACTCAAGTGCGATATGCATCCAGAAAAGTGCACAAATTAGTAGGTGTGTAGATAGCTTTGGGGTGTATTGCCATCTCAAGATATTAAGTCTTCTAATCCATGAACATGGGGTATCTTTTCATTTATTTAGATCTATTTTAATTTCTTTCAGCAATCCTGTAGTTTTCAGTGTACAAATTTTTGTACCTCCTTGGTTAAATTTATCCCCAAGTATTTTATTCTTTTTGATGCTGTGGTAAATATAATTGTTTTCTTAATGTAATTTTCTGGTTGTTTATTGATATTGTATGGAAATACAACTGATTTCTATGTGTTGATCTTGAATCCTGTAATTTTGCTGAGTGTGTTTATTGCCTCTAGTAGTCTTTTTTTGTGGATTCTTCTGGGTTTTCTATATATCAGATCATGTTATCTGTGAATATTAATGATCTTACTTCTTTATTTTTAATTTGGATACTATTATGGGCTAATTTTGTTCCCCCCAGATTCACATGTTGAGACCTAAACTCTAATACCTCAGAATGTGACTGTATTTGGAGATAGACTTTGTGGAGGTAATTAAGGTGAAATGAGGCCATGTGGATAGGCCCCATTCCAATCTGACTGGGGTCCTTATAATAAGAGAATATTTGGATGCAGGATGTGTGTACAGAGAGGGACAGCCATGTGAAGAGGGTGGCCATCTGTAAGCCATGGAGAGAGACCTCAAGAGAAACCAAACCTGCCAACACCTGATCTCAGACTTTCAGCCTTTGGAATTATGAAAAAATAAACTTCTGTTGTTTACACCCCCCAGCCTGTGGTATTCTGTATGGCAGCACTAGCAAACTAATACAGACACCTTTGTTTTAATAACAGTGACCTTCCAGAAAATTGTTGCATCTGCTTCATGATCTTTGCTGGGTCACAACCGAGGTCTTTTTGGGGACTGTCTGCAAAGTTGAGGCCCTGACTAGGATTTTCTGACAAAGAGTTGCAGATCTTATACTCATGTGGGGAGAAGAACTTATTCTGGTGTATCGGTTTTCCTGGCAAGGCTGGCTAGGTCGGGCAACATCCCAAAGAAACAGAGGTCTCTCCTGTTTTCCTTCCTTGGTCCCCAAGCCAAGACCATCCTTGCCATTTTAGGACAGCTTTGCCCTCCCCTTCTCCTTTGGCCTTTACCACCCTCTACCCAAGATGGGTGTGGGCAAGTTAATTTGATGGCAAGGCTCATTGTCCTCTTCTTTTCAGTGATTATGTTGTTCCTCCTTCTCTCTGTTACTGTCTGGTCTCAGTGTTGACTTTCATCAGAGGGGTGACTGTATCCTCTCTGGGATTCCCCAAACACTAGGCCCTCTGCCTCACCCTCTCTCATGCCAGACAGTTGGGCCCCATGCAGCCCCAGCTTTGACCAACCCACCTCCTAGTGACATGGAACATAAGACCCAGGAGGAGGGTGGGTATCCCACCCTTTTTACCTCTTCTGGACCTCCTATAACAACTCCCCATGTCCCCCGGTGGGCCACTGAACTATGACTCCAGTGCCATTTCCCTTCTTGTAAAATGGGAATAAAATCATGATCCACCTACTCTTTGTGGTGGTCAGTCTAAGAGGTTATAAATGCAACATGAAGAAATGGCAGCTCAGGGAAAATGCCTTCTCCAGACAATATCACCTTCAAAGGTCATTCCATTTGGAATTGTGCAACCACCTTCTAGCATGGAGAAAAATTCTCCAGAATAACCAATAAGGCCATTCATTGGTGCAAGAAATAGGAAAGGCCTCTGCATGTAAGTCTGAAGCCTGAAGTGTTCTCAGCTTCTGCTGCATTTCCCTTTAGACCAAGTCAGACCTCAATTTGTTGTTTATCCATCCATGGCTCAATTTTATGACCATGATGCTTCTCCCCTTCAGACTTGGGTTTGAATCCTGGCTCTCTCACCACTGAGGTGAGAGACTATAAGAGCTGTGTCCACTTGAATGTTACCTCAGTTTCCTCTTCTGTAAAATGGGGGTGCTAATCCCTGTTTCATGGTGTTATCATGAAGATGAAATGAAAGAGTGGTTCTAGGTACTGGATCTAGAATGTCGCAGGAGATTCATTCTAAGATAATAATAAAGTATTTATGTACAGGAAAGTTCATAGAGAGTGGTTTATTACAGGGAATAATAGAAAACAATCTAGGTGTTTAGGACTAGGGGAGTCAGTAAATCCATTGAGACCCAGGAGACCCATTACAGGACAGCAGGATATGGTCCCTACAAAAGATGATGTAGGTATACTTTCAGTGACATGGAAGGGTGGTCACAATAGAGTGTAAATTGTTAAAATACAGATTATGGCACTTTTCTTTAGAATAGTCTTTGGCAATGGGGCCATATTAGTTGTATCAGTCAGCATCTTCCCACCCACAACTGTTTCAGGGAGCTTCCCTTTGCCCATGTCCTCATGGTCAGGCTTGGGCCAGGGACCCTGTCCTAGCCATGTTCATCAGACCAGGAGTGGTTAGTTGAGCAAAGCTGAGCAACCAGATTATTTCTTTTGAGAAGAATCTTGGAAAGCAGACAGAGTGCTGAGCACAAGCATTTTGGAGGTGACCCCCCCCCCGGGGGGTGTGGAGCAGGGAGGATGGTGGGTCAGGAGCCAATAAGGGAAGCTGTTCTGTAGGAGGCCAACTGGACTAGGAGGAGGTAGGGTGGAAAGATCTGCAGCCTCAGGGAACGAGAGTGAAGGAGATGGAGAGTCTGAGAGTCACCACGGAGGCCTTGTCACCGTCATGGAGCTCAGCTGCACCCTGCCCCCTTGCCATTGAAAGGTGTCTCTCTGGGGGTGGTCAGTTTGCCATCATCATGAGTGGTCCTGGGCCTCCGGGCAGAGAAAGAAAGTAGAGCCCACAGTAAGTATTGAGAGAAGCTTGAGGATAAGAAATAGAACCTTCCACATGCCATACAGTAAATGGGGGTCAGTGCCTGTCTCTATGCTCCCACCCTCACCAGGTCAGGGCACACAGACTGGCTTCCAGCTATCAGGGTTGTGGTCTCTCTGCCTTCAGCTCACTTAGTCCATGGAAATCTGCTGGTGTACAGGACAAAAATGCTGGAGAATTAACATTTCCCACCCCTAGCAACAGACCTCAACCAATGACTCATGGGGGTGGGTGTAGAAATACCCAAGCTCCCTTGCTCCTTGGGGGATGGGGTAACTTAGGATTGCATGTCTACTCTGGGTCTTAAACTTCCAAGAAGGATAGAGCCTCAGTTGCCCTCAGTGGTGACCTGCTTGCCAGCACACCCTTTGTGGGCTCCCTTCTCTTTCTGGCCTCACTTCCCCACTCCTCCACTCCTGTATCTTGGGATCAGATAATCTACTCACACCCACATCTTCGTCTTGGGTCTGCTTCTGGGAGGACCCAAACTGGAGCATATCACCAAGTTTGGTTTTCTCTGCCCCTTCTTGCATCCTAGACTTGTCATTTTGCAGCTGACATGGGGTGTGGGGGGGTGTTATGGACTGAATGTTTGCATCCTCCCACCCCTCCGAATTCATATATTGAAACATATTCCTCCAAGGGGATGGCATCAGAAGGTGGGGCTTTTGGAAGGTGCTGAGCTCATGAGGGTGGAGCCCTCACGAATAGGATTAGTGCCCTCATAAAAGAGACCCCAGAGAGTTCCCTTACCTTCCCATCACGGGGGCCCAATGAAAAGATGATGGTCAACCAACAAGCAACAGGGTCCTCACCATACACCAAATCTGCCGGCACCTGGATTTTGCACTTCAGCTTTCAGAACCGTGAGGAATATATTTCTGTTTTTTTAAATGGTTTTCCTTTTTATGTAATCAAAGACTGGTGGATAAACATAAATACAGCACAGTTACTTCAGATCATTCTTCATATTGTATACACACAGACCGATGAACGTAATCTGAAAGAAACCTGCAGTCGGCAATGAAACGCATACAACTTTTCCTTCCCTCGCACAAAAAAATTTAAAAACACACAAATTTAGAATCTCATCAGCACACACTCTCTTGTGACAAATGATTCAGACATAAATAGTGGGTGCAAAGAAACTATATACTAACATATGTAGAACCTTTGTTAATGAAAACCCAGAAGCAGCTGTAAGGATGAAGATACATTCAGTGACTGGTAACTAGTTGTGCCCTGAGGGGCGCCATCGACAGAGTTCGTGCTGCAGAGAAAAGCTATGCTACACACACAATGAGAAAATAAACTGCAAGATCAATGCATTCATGTTTAATACTGGAAAAATCACGGCCCTCCAAAATTTCTCCACGTTTGTTATAAAAGCCCTCTGCACTCAACTAAAATTAAAATGATCTTAAAAGGATAATACTTGTAAAGTTACTTAAGTCTTTTCAGCCACAGAAACTGCAATGGAAATAAATGTTCAGAGTCATTTTCAAAACAAAAACAAAAATCTATTCTTCTGATGACATGCATGATTAAAAGGTCTATGCAAGATACATTGCTCTACATTCCCAATGACTAGGAAAAAAAACCTCAAGTCGATTTTTAGTTTGCAGATGGTCAAAGGATTTTGTATTCCAGCAGGAGTTCAAATCTTCTGGACCTTTTCACCAACAACTACTGGATGTTCTTTTCTGATTTTCTCAGCAGCATCAGCTTTGTAACTGTAAGAGCAATTGTGTACATCGGAGTAATGGTGTACCTCACAGTAAACATTTCCACACTGGCATTCAAACCCAGTAAGTCCCACTTTCTTCCTGCACATGAAACAGCAATTCTTTTTTTGTGTTGGTTTTTCAGGAGACTTGCTTTGCTCTTCAGATGGCTGTTGTGCCGTGTCTGACACGGAAGCTTGCAGGTCTTCTGTTTCAGGTCCTGCTTTGTCCACAGATGTACTGTCCACTTGGGAAGATGCTACAGATTCTGATAAAGTGACTGATTTGATACAGGGCTTGGCTGCACAGATGAAGAGGTGGGGTCTAGCGGTGACCGAGCGTCCGGGACACTGCCGTCTGTGCACTGGACGGGTAAACATTCAGACAGACTACTGACAGGAGCTGCAGGGGGGCTTATTCTGCCATTACTACTATTCTGTCTTTGAAGATGTTCTCTATAGCACGCTGCACACATGCCATTTGTACGAGGGTTTCCATAAAATCCGCAGCCAGTGGAACAAAGCACAGGCATTTGGCTGTGATTAGTTTCTTGAGCCATGTTCCTCTGTTGCACACCCCGTGGCTGCCCGCCGCCGCTGGTCACCGCCGGAGAGTGGGGACAGGTGAGGCCGCCGAACCCCTGCTCCCTCCACCCTGCCGCCGTGGCCGCCGCCCAGTGTATTTCTGTTGTTTAAAATCCACTCAGTCCCTGTGACCCTGCAGCCCAAACAGACTAGGGTGGGTTTGTCACCTTTGGCTGTCTGAGGTCATTGACAGTCACCATCTTCCGCTCTGACTCCCGGGTCTTAGGGGCACTTCTTGTGGTTTAGAGACTCAAAGATCAGGTTCTTTCGCAACAAAGAGCTTCTCACCTTCGTCGTGCCACAGCCATGTGGTTGAGTCTGTCACTCCAGAGGGAAGCCGCTTGTCTGGCTGGAGTGGCTCCCACAGCGGCGTGGGGAGAGGTTGCCCTCGGCGTCCTCTGCTCAGATAAAAAGGGATTTCAGCTAGGTGCTGCCAAGAGTTATGCACGGGGGCAGGGGGCGGCCTAAATGTATTAGCGAAGTTGTCTGCTGAGTAACGGAATTGCTGAAATAATTCGCCGCATTAAACAAACACGGGAATGCAAAATACAAACCAAACCAAACCAGACAAAACCTCCCTTCAACCTGCCGTGCACCCAATGACTGCTTGTTTGCCTTCTCTACAGTACGGCTACGGAACGGCCGTGGCCTGGGAAAATTCTGTTTGTGGAGACAGGACATCCTGCAGGGGTTATTCCTCAGGGTGAAGGGTTAAGTTGTCCCCTGCACGTCGGCACATTCACACTCCAGATGTCAAGATGCAATTTTGTTTGTCTTTGCTGGGGAGACTCAAGGCTATCTAGTGATATCAGATGTTTTCTGCTTGCATTTCTCAATTAGCATTTTCTAAAATAAAATTTCTTTTTTTTTTAAGATTTTATTTATTTAGCTATTTAAGAGAGAGAGAGAGACAGAGAGTACAAGCAGCGGGGAGAGGCAGGGGGAGAGGGAGAGGGAGAAGCAGACTCCCCGCTGAGCTGGGAGCTCGATGTGGGGCTCGATCCCAGGACCTAGAGATTGTGACCTGAGCCAAAGGCAGATGCTTAACCCTCTGAGCTACCCAGGGGCCCCTCTAAAATAAAATTTCTAAAGAAAGCAAAACTGAGAACACTGGAGATGCGGCAGAAATCACACGGGACCCTGCTCACTGACTCTACATTTTCTAGGCCACTCAACCTTCCCGCTTCCCTCACTATGGTTCACCTGGCGGTGTCCTGCCCATTTCTTGGTGGGCTCTGTCTGACTTTCCACCAGCATGGGGTCATTCCTGTCCCCGCTGGCTCTTCCCAGGGCCGTGAGAAGCTGTGCCACTCACAGCTCCAGGTGGCTGCAAATGGGGGACTCACCCCAAGAGCAGCTCTCCCCCAAGGCCTGAGGGAGCTGGTCATCACATGCCCTGCAACCTGGCCTTTGGCTGGGATAACGCTGAGGCATGTGATTTGCAGTCTCTAGAGTTTCTCTAGGCATTAAGCTCATTGCCCACCTAATGCCGCACTGGCTTGCTGGTGCCTATTCACTGGCTACCTTCTTCACAGTTCTTGACTGAGATTTGGGGGAACCCAAACCAAGGCACACTGCCCCGAATTAGTTTTCTAAAGCAAGTCTGACCATGTTATGCCCAGGATCAAACACCTCGAGGATTTTCCCACCACTGCCAGAAAAAGAAAAAAGCCCTTTGTTTGGTGCTAAGACCTTTTTTCATCTGTCCTCAAGCTTCCTTACCAACCTCACCTGTGCCCTCCACCCTCGAACCCCTGCAGATGCCTCTAGAGCTGCACCTGCTCCAGCCTGCCCCTGTATTCTTGCACAACCTCTTTGTCAAGAATGAATGCTGTTGGCCTCGTTGCCCCAGATCAGATGGCATCTCCTTGAGCAGCCTCCCTTGATTTCCCCAAAGTTCCTGTTGGCTCCTCTCTGCTTCCACGACTTTCAGTGTGACCCTCTATACAGCTCATGCGCATATGATGCTGTGTTCCTGGGCTCGAGGTGAGTCCCCTCCACCAATGATGAGTGTCCTGTCCCCTGGGACACAGTCTTATTCGTCCTATAGCTCCAGAGATGACCAAAAGGGCTGGCTCTCAAAAGTATTTTATTTTTACCAAAGAATAAGCAATGCGTGGATTTGTGTCTTATTCTCCCTGGAGTTCTGGGGGCAGGGGGGCTTTGTACAATGTAACTCAAACCCTGCCATCACATGCTTGGACGTGGCTTGTCAGCTCACTGACACGTCACCAGCACCTATGACTGATGCTGTGACCTGGCCTCTGCCCAGCTCTCCGAAGGCACTTTCCTTCTTCACTCAGCCACACTGACCTTTACTGTCCTTTGCACATACTGGCCTCATCAGGCTGCCCTCTCTACCCAGGAGGCCCTGCCCAGAGACTTACCAGCTGGCTTCACCCTAACGACAGGTCGGAGGTCACTCTTTCCCTGGCCGCCCTGCCTAAGGAGGCTCACCCTTCGACAAGCACAGAACCCTATTTGGTGTGAGCACCGGAGCCCAACTTCTTCCTTGGTTAGTTGTCTGCTCGTTTGCTGTCTGAATCCCCCACTGGGGCATAAGCCCCATGAGTGCAGGGACTTTATCAGTGATCTCTGTTTCTCTATCCCTGACATCTACCCAGTGCTGGCCTGACACACGGAGCAACGATTACCTCCTGAATGGATGTTGGTTTCCAATTCTCGAAGCATTCCATGCATCCAGAGATAAAACAGCCACATGGACATGAATACTGCACTCAGGTCCCATTGTCTGGCATCCTTAGGTTACGAGTGAAATTTTCCACACTGTTGAAGTTTAGACATTGAAAAAGTAAAGTGCAGTTTCCAGACATTGTTCTAAAATATATTAAACACAGACTTCTCGGTCTTCAGGAAATAAGTGTACCACACAAATGTCAACCTTTTCCTGAGCCATCCCTTTCAAGCACATGGCTCTCTCCTGCACTGGGGCATGACTTGTCACGGACTGGAAAAGGCCTGGTCCTGATCCACCCAGGTATCAGTGACAACCAGCGCAAGGGTGCTGGAGGTCGGAGGTCCCCGGGGGCTTCTGAAGCCAGCGCTGAGGGCCAGCCATTCGGCTGGGGTGCTAAACGAGTCGCTGCTGAAACAGCTTCCGCGGGCGTGGGCACATTCTAGCAACTGCCTGGAGTGCCTCCGCCCAGAGCGCGTGACTCACGGTCCCCACCCGCCCACCCCCATGGGGGACAAGTGCCCCCGGCCCCACTCCCACCCCTGAAGTTTTCTCCTTGCTGGGAAGGCCACCTCAGGTTTGTTCTGATGAGAAGTTTCATACCTCTTTCTCCTCAAAGCCTGAGTGCTGCAAAAGCAGTTGAAAAATAAATAGAAAAAGCTCCTCTTTGAGGCTGCACACAGCAGTGAAGAGAGACGCAGAGAGATGGGAAGGCCTGGGATGGGGTGCGGAAGGAGATCTGAATAGGGGTAAACAGGGAGATAAGGGAGGGGGACACAAGAAGGGAGGTGCAGGCTGGGACGGGCCACTTTGCCAAAGAGTCAAAAGGGACAAATCATGACCTGCAGTCACCCAAGCATTTTGGTCAAGTGGGATGGATAAAGGAAAAATATTTATCAGATATTTCAGGAATGTGTGCTCTTTCTCACAGTTGATAGCTTTCCCTGGAAAATGTCCCACGTGGACAGAATTGGCAGGGGCAGAACACAGAGCAGCCAATGTGCGACCACCAGGGCATGGCTCAGAAGACAGCCTTGCGGCCGCCGCCTACAAAAAGAGGTGGCCTTCCCTCACCCTGAACCGACCAATGGTGATCGGCAAGGGAGACATTTCCGGAAAGGCAAAGTGCACGGCCCCGAACCCGTTCCAGCCGCTCGCTGTGGATGGGCGTGAGAGCCAGCCATGGCTTGGCACCATGCAGGGGCTCTGCTTATCAGCTGCCAGACCGGTTCTCCAGGACGAGTTTTGGAACTGATGGGCTCGTGCTTTCTTTCCCTCCACTTCTTACTGTTCTGCGAGGCTCCAGAGAGTGAGGGGGAGAAGCAAGGAGACTCTTGGTCCTGTTGAATGCATGGGGGAGACGTCTAGACCCTGGGGTCTCCAGTGGCCACGAGGGCCATAACCGGCTAGGGTTCCTGTTCCTGCTTGCCCCTTGCTGCCACTGCCTAGCCTACCGGTGCCACCCAGCCCAGGCTAGAGGGAACTTTCGGGGACTCCAGGGCACGCTCTTAAACCTTGGTACTTATCAGAATCATCTGCATGAAATCCGGATGCCCAGGGGTCCCGGAATCAGCATCTTGTGAAGCTTGTGGGTGATTCTGGTGTGCAGACAGGCCGTGACTCACGGCTTTGTAGGAAAGAAGGAACTGAAAGTGCCTTTCTGACTTAGTTTCTGGGTCCCATTCACGTCACCTCCCTGGTGTTTCTCGAAGTCCACCTGCCCGTGTCCATCCTCATCCAGGGCCAGCGGCTCTCCCCAGGCTGTGGCAGGACCTTCCTCTTTGGTGTCCCAGCTCTGCTCTGTCCCTTTCCCCAGGCTTTTTTTCTTTTTTAAGATTTATTTATTTTAGAGAGAAAGAGAGAGTGTGTGCACACAAGTGGGGGGAGGGGCAGAGAGAGGGCGAGAGAATCTCAAGCAGACTCCCTGCTGAGCATGGACCCTGACACAGGGTTTGATCTCAGCACCCTGAGATCCCAACCTGAGCTGAAATCAAGAGTCTGATGCTTAACTAACTGAGCCACCCAGGCGCCGTCCATTCCCCTAGTTTTAATACACTTGCTTTCAGGCCAAAGACCAAGATGCCAAGAATGTCCTCCAGGGCTCTGGCCTCCTTTGCAGCCTCCTTCTCCTTAATGCCCTCCAGCCATGGGGCTTTTCCTTTCAGTTCCTCAGTTGTGCAGACCTCATCCTACTCAGGGGTTTGCACATGCTGATCCCTCTTCTAAACACTCCATTCCCTACCCTAGATCATTCCTCCCGAGGATTGCAATATAGCACCT